AGCCGCCGGTCCCCGGCTAGGGTGGCGGTGAGGAAGCGGAGCCCTGCCCGGCTCAGGTGCCGAGAGGTGGTCCTGCCGGCCGGGGGACCCCTGGCGTCTCCGCCACCTCCTCCCTTCGTGCCCCAGAGGCAGGGATTGTGAGGAGGCGCGCTCGCCCCGCGCGTGGAGACGGGACTGTCCCGGTGCAGCTCTGTGACGTGCCCCTGCGCCGAGCGTTCGAGGAGGGTCAGAGGCAGCGCCCGGGAGCCCGATGTCATAAGGAGAAATTCTCGCGGTGTCTCCAAAGAGGAGCGCCCACAGTCACTGCACACAGCAGTGATGGAGTCATTGATTTTAGGCAACCTGGCTGTACCTTTCTTTTAAATTAGGGAGCGAACATGGTATTTATCACCTTGAAGCATAGACAGCTAATGCTGATAGAGGACTTGAAAGAACACGTGGCTTAGAATCTAGAGACTCCATCTCATCAGGGCGTTATGCCAGGGCTTGCAAACCATCTTTCCACTCCACCCAAGATCATGGTTGTGGAGCCTAGGTAAGAATGGCCATTGTGAAAATGCCCTGCCGAGACATTTAAGCATCTTGAACTGTGAGTATGCCCTAAAGGATTTGACATTTTGTTATGTTTCTGGGACACGTTTGAACCTGCGATCTGTATTTATCCCAGTGGAAATTATTAGCATAACCCAAACAAACGACAATCATCCAAACCCTCGTCGTTGTTCTGGTTCTCTTCAGGTGCCTGTGGCTGTTTAGTCCACCTGAACTTAAAAGTTTGAACTGGTGGTCTGCAATGGGCCGGGTTGAGAAGAGCCAAAAGGAACCGTCAGCCTGTGTGATTAGGGCGGAAAACAAGCCGGACCAGATCTTAGAAGATGTTCTTTCTTGTAGTTCAACTGAGAAGTCCCTTTCTGGTGTGAGCCTGGTGCTTTTGTGACTGGTCTGCATTGAGATGAAAAGGTCTTGAGCCCCAATTACGTGGCTGGTGAAGGAAAACTCAAAGCAACAGGCTTCCTTAACTCACCTCTTCTGAATTTACTGTAAACAGATGGAACTTAAACAAACAAACAAGACTAGCCTCCCCGCCCACGATTATAAGCATTTTGACACATTTCCTTCCTGTGTCTGTTATTTATATTTTGTCCGTGCTTTATGATCACGGCAGCCTGACTGGAATCTCTGGGCCTTACATGTTTTGACATTTAACACATGGGCATATGACAAGGGCAAATGGGGCAGGTTATCTATTTATACCATACGGGAACTTTTCGGCTACCTCCGGGTTTCTGAGTTAAGTGTGGAATAATAAGTGCAAACCAGCATGCCACAGTGTTAATGTCTTTAGCACACTTTGGTTTTGATGTGGCTGTCAAGTGCAGTGTGGCGCTGTGTTTGGAGTAGAGGCCAGGGGAAGGATCGGGTGGTTTTGTCATTTACATGTAGAGATTTCTATCTTTCTCCCTGTGGCTTTTTTTTTTTTTTTTTGGCTAGGCTGTGGGATAACTACAGTAGTTTCTAGATGTTTATACTCAGTCATTTCAGAGGGTTTGTAAGATCAGTTTGACTTGTTGGGTAAGCTTGCCAATTGCTCCTTTGCATGCACTGTCCCTTCTGACTAAATTCTCCTGGAGTTACACTATTAGAAATGTTTTATGGACAGCCTTGTTTATATGATGCCACGCAACATATAGGCTGTCGCACCGCAACATGGAAACTCACTTTAAGGCAGCTCACAGCTGCGAGTTTCCTAAACCCTCTTTAAGCCTGACTGTTCGGCCCAGCTAGATTAAGGTGCCTGAGTTTTTAGTGAAGGCCTTCATGTCCAAACTGGACAAACATTTGAGGGTCATGATGTACCTTTGGCATTATTGCCAGGAGGATAGTTCTCAGTATGCAGAGCTAATCTGAAGCTGTGCTTGAGTTTAGGTTTCAACATCCTGGTACCTTGAGGGGCTTCTGAGAACTTGAAGGAAATGCAAGCAAGCCCTAAAAAGTGGCAGCTGAACTTGATGAACTAGACAGGAGAGGCAGTTTTACCGGTGTTTGCCATAGTGCTCTGAGAGTCTCATCTTCGTAAAATGCTGCATGTCAACGCCTAGGACATTTTAGTTTGTGTAATTCGAGGGTAGCAGGTCATATGGACAAGGGAAAGAAAACTATCCCGTGAATGAGCTGTGTTCATTTTTTCTACTTTGTCCATCCTGATGTTTATAATTTCTTAACCGTCGGAGGCAGTGGTATTCAGACACTTGTAACCTTTGAGGAATCAAGCTTGAGGAGGGCTGGGAGTTGCTGCAGAGTGGTCCTCTTCCTGTTCCTTGGCTGGCTGGGAGGGATGCCACTTTAACCTGGAGGTGTGTGAAGGCTGTATTCTCTGAGGATAGGAAGGGCTGCTGGAGAACAAGGGATGCCCTGTGTCCTAAGTCTGAGATTTCAAAACCAGTGGCTGAATTCACATAGGAACCTGGGTTAGTTCTCTTTATGGATTATTTGCCAGTTTTCAGGTTTTAAGTAAAAAACGAGAAAGCTGTCTCAATATCTAAATCAAAGTGTACTTTTGCTTTTTCATATTATTAAAGTGGTATATACTTGTTATTAAACACTAGGACGTATAAAAACTAAAAGTCTTGAAGAAAGCACATCTGGGTTCATTTTCTTCCTGTTTTATAAGCAATTGAAAAACAATTTTAAGGCATATATTGTCATTTGAAGTTGAACATTTTGACAATTCATTTAGAAAAATTTAACCTTTATTTTTATTTTGTGTGTACGGGTAATCTGCCTGCATGCATGTCTCTGTACCACATTCATGCAGTGCCTGCAGAGCTAGCTGAGAAGAAGGCCTTGGATCCCCGGGGACTAGAATAACAGATGGTTGGGGACTGTCTGGTGGATCCTGGGAATCAAACCCAGGTCCTCTGGAAGAGCCACCAATGCTCTTAACTGCCAAGCCATCTCTCCAGACGGGCGAGTCACTTTTAATCACCTAACTTACAGAGTGATCCTTCCCTCGGATTTGTTTTCAGTGAGTTTTGATGATGACTCTTTTCAATGTATTCATTTCTCTCATCTGTTGACTTCAGAGCGGTTTACCAAGCTCTTTTCTCTAGTTAAACACATGCATGTTTAAAATAAAACATGTTCTTAAAAAAAAAAAAAAAAACTACTCATGGTTTTATAACTAACTTGAAAATAATAAATGAATGGGTTTTAATGGGCTCTGGGGTTCATGTGTTTTAGTGCAAAACTGTTGAAATAAGGATTTCATGGTTTGGAAAGATAAATGGAAAGGAGGTAGAGCATCAGAAAAGTGTGGTTTGCCCTTTAGAATGTTTCCCCATTTGGGGTGCGACTTCTGATAAATGTATTATCTACCCATTTGCAGAGTTTTGGCTGCTGTAGAAATTGGCACTTTCCACTCAGGTTTGTTGTTGGAGAGCATGTCTGGAGCCACGCGGTCAGAACACCATTGATGAAGCAGAATTAAGAGAAAGCTGCTGCAGGACTGGGTTCTTCCTTTAGGCTCAGCTGTCGGGCAGCTGAACAGGACCAGTTTAGGGGCAGTAGTACCAGTTCTCGCTGGTAGATTCTGTTCTTGGTGCATCAGAGATGTTAGTTCATTAGCCTCCCCAGCATCCCTGTGAGGCAGGTCCTACTCTTAGACTCTATGATAGTGGTTCTTCCTAATGCTGCGACCTTTTAATACAGTCCCTCACGTGGTGGTGACCCCCAACCATAGAATTATTTTCATTGCTACTTCATTACTGTAATTTTGCTACTGTTAGGAATCGTGATCTGATATGCAGGATATCCGATATGTAACCCCCATGAAAGGGTTGTTTGACCTCTTCCCCACTCCCTCACGCCCCAAAAAGGGGTCTTGACCTACAGATTGAGAGCTGCTGTTCTCTGATATTTAGAGATTAAGTTGCCCAAGGCAGGATTTGAGCCTAGGCTGCTGCCTGGGCTTTGGGGCCTGTGCTCTCAAATGCTTCCCTCTGCTGGCTCTGGAG